CTAATACAACAGCAACCCGAAGTCTAGCAGACCATTCCTTACATAAAAGGAGTCTCAGAAGTAGTCTTTCGACTGTGAAAACTCGCTGGAGTAGACATGGCCCATCGACCTCAGGCAACAATGCACCACCGTGTGATGCAACTTAAGACGGACTGCCCCCTACTGAATCCTCTGCAGTTGTCTACAAGATACGTTGCAACGATGGAGACTACGATTACGTCGGAGAAACAGGCCGAAAATTATAGACACGCTTACACGAATACAAACCAACGGCTCGGGGACTAGATCCAAACTCGCAGCCTGCAGCATACATTGGAGAGCCTGGCCACGGCTTCGATATTCAAGGAATGACCATCGTAGGTCGGAGAACCTTGAAAGCTGAAAGACTGGCGCTTGAGACATGAAACTCAGATACCAATTCTGTCAACAGGCCTCTAGGCCTTCCCGTAGCCTACAGAGTCTTACACCATTACGTGATGAAAGAACAGAAAAGGGTCAAACTGAACGTAAGAATTGCAAACGAAGAGGATCCCACGGCGAACTGGCCGGATGAGGAGGCAGGATTACCAAGACCCTCTACCGTGGGGACAAGGCGCTACACTTATTGCTGTTTATGACCCCGAATAACCCCTGACTTCACTGAGAGTTAATTAACGCATACCACTATAATTACCCCCCTTATGCTTTTTGGTTGCTGTTTCCTACGCTTTGATGACCTCTGACAGTTGATTGGCCTATCATCTGCTGATGCGTCGCGTATTAACACTTTCTTGGTCACACTAGTACATTTTGCAGTTAGTCGCACATGTACTCGCTGATGTCTACTTGGTCTATTCAGGCAGCTGCAACTACACGTCTGCATTCTGTATTCCTGGCATACAGTTGTTCCACGATCCTCACAGTAACTGGCCGTCAGTGCGAACTTTCTTTTGGCCAAATCCTGCCATGTTAGGCCAACATATCGGATATGCTAATCTAAAGTTCAACCACACGTATAGCCACGATGACTCACTCATAAACCGCGAATGGGTATGGCCAACTAGCAAATGGCTGGCGTGCTCATCTCAGGCAACTAAACAAAAGTATAAGCGCACTGTAAAACTGTGATGTACTTATTACCCCCCAAAAAGATAAAAGATAAACGAAGTTGCGAAGTGAAGCTGCAGGAGGTAAATTTACATATTCCATAGTAAAATTAAATACCTGTTTCTACATCTGCTGTTTCTAAGCGGGGCTAGTTCCAGTAAAACAGTCTTTTCTTTTCGTTCCATTTTTCGTTCCATTTCGTTCTTTTTTCCATGTAATTACCGGGCCATTCTACAAGGTTCCCCTCTTGCTCGTAGTATTGGATTCCTCATAAAGGCGTACTATATTGTGTGGAAGAAAGTTTAGCACACACTAACAACCCATAAACATGTAAAATTTTAAATATCCTTTCTGAAACCAACCTTAGATACCAGTGTTCGGTAATACAAAGTATCGAATCACTGGCTACGACCTGCTGCACGTTCTGCTGTACAACGGCCTCTGCGTCAGAGTCCGAATACTTGGTCGGACGCAATTCAAGGTCGCTGGTACATTTGATGTCTTCGGCAACATTCTCGAGAGCCGAAGGCGTGAGACGAAGATGTCCTATTCCGACCGTTCCTTTACTCCAACCGTTTCTGACGTCAATCCTTCTGACTTTGATCTTGACATTGGCAACAAAAACAAGCAGCCCAAGGAGCCAGTGTATGTACCCCCTCCAATCACAAAACCAGAGGCCTATATTACACGTTCGGAAACTCGCCTTTTTTACAATGAACTCCTCTCCGAGTCAGGTACTATCATTGAACTTGAACCAGCTAAAGACTGGACATCAGAGTCACACAAAACACAGATCATTAGGTGAGTGGATCAGCCCTTGGTAATGCTTTCTTGTTCATGTTTTTTCCATGAAATTCAGGAATCTGCTTCAGACAACACTGAGTGAGCACACAGTTATTCATTGCAGTTTATCTGCATTGAAGACCTACTGCAGAGTAGCGCCGCAGACGCTTCATCATTGTCCGGGAGGTCAACAAATTAAGCAGAAAGCTCTTGTTTGAGTAGGAATCCCAAAACCGCAGATCGCTAGGCGTATGTCGTTTGGAATGCAGGCAATAAAGTGAGGATATTTGGGATGATATGTCACGGCGAACGGGTGATCATAAGAGCAGAAGATTCCAACATGCTTTGCAAAATACATGAGTACTGTGTGAATTCCTTTCGATAACACCCACTAGCCTCCGCAAAGTTGTCAAACTTGGTGTCATGAAGCAAGATACATGAACATGAGTTCAAATGCATGGCCTTAAACGTTCGGAGTGGTTAGTATTGCAAACGATTTACATTCTGCTCTAGTGTGACCTTATAAAAAACTAACCTAACAGAGGAGCAAGTAGAACCTGGCCTTTCACAGTGCGACAAAATTGACCGATATTTTTTGAATTACTTTTATGTGATAGATTCAAGTGCCATGGACCAGGCTCTATGCTATATTAAATGTATAAAATTGCTCTCCTATTTAACAGGGACAAGTTGGTTCGTCTCCTGATGGACAGAAGACTGGTAGAGTTGGATAAGGAGCCACCCCCTGAAGAGGCCGCTCCCGCAGCGGAGCAAGCAGCGGCCAACAATAACGTCATGATGCACAACAATATACCTACCGCAGAGAACGCCCAAATTCCTGACCTGCTCGCCAAAGAAACCCTAAGGGACGATCTCTCCGAGAGAGATGACACTGGTACTCTCTTTGCAGAACTCTTGAGAAGAGGAAATAACGTCTCACCAGCTCTGCCGCTAACGGATACTGACTCGGAAGAGGAGAGCTCCCGGGAAGAGGACCAGCAGCAACAGGTCAACCGCAGTAATGTCTCTGTTCGCAGTTCGGAACGCATGTCTGAGATGACGGAGAGTGCTGCGAATCTCACTGTGGAACTCTTTCCAGGCTATGATGGGGACGAAGGCGTCACACGGCAGCACTTTACAGATCTGAAGGAGGCCTTCTCAACCAAGAACTCGCCAACCCTGAACTTTGAAATTGTCAAAGACCTGGCACGTCGATTTTGCAACATTTGTGACAAGGGAAAAACTGAGAGTAGGTGGTTGAGCTTGTTAGGCTTCCTAGTCAATTAGTTAATTTTGTAACCAAGTTGCACGATTTTATCACAGATAGCCTTCAGACTGGAAGTACTATGATGACCAAATACCCTAATATGGTCGAGGTTATGCTTACCTAATGATAATCAGTGTGGTTTCTGTCCCAAAGTGTCGACCATTGTGCACGAGTTATGCGCATGATCGAAATTTTTAATATTTACACCCACGTGCATTTCGTAATCCCGTGGGTTTACCGAAGCGCTTCTGGTTCAAACCGGATCTTCTGACCCCTAACTCTTCACATTATGCAGTTTTTTTACAACTTATATAGACTATTTATTATATTTGGATAACGGCGAACTTAATTCGATGGTCTTTTCCCGAATATTTTAAGGGTGCGCAGAAAAGGATCGTAAATCCTTTGGCGAAGTGTCATGCTGCCGCCCTCTGACACATACGGTAAAGCTACAGAAAAAGTTGTTTGCAAAAACAAATGCTAAATTAACGGGCAGATTAATCTTCCTGTCACAGGGTCAATATAAAGATGACAAGGGTAAATGTTAGTAACACAGATAAAAGTGCCGATACTAGCAGAAATGGGCGTTCTATGAAGTATTTCAGAAGAAGTCGATGCGTACGCTGGCACAAGAAGTTTACCCACCGAAGCTCTCGAGCCCAACAGCAGATGCAGCATTAGGCAAGGGTCACATGCTGATGTTCTCTTTGATGATGGGGTTGGGCATGAATCGACAACGCCAGGCGGATAAATATCGTGTTCAAGTACTCATATCTTCTCCTTCGAAATAAATTAAAGTGTCCTTTAGCTTGTACAATTATAGGAAAAATTGCTGTGCAGACGGAAGTTGTAAAAAGTGCAGTTATTTCGTCTGGCAGTGGCAGTTCGAAGCAAATGCATCTGCGGGGACCAGACATCATCAGAACGGTACATTGACTGGAGCATTTATGTACTCCTTTGTAAAAATACGAAAGATATTTGCCATTTTGCCAGCAGAATCGCAAACATTAGTACCCCAGATGCCACAAAAAAAGTAACTCGGGGCTGTACTGAGTGAAACTATTTTGCCAGAATAATTTATAGCCAGAAATGTCTAGGAAAGCAAAGCAGAAAAAAAATGAAAAACAATTTGCAAAATATTTCTTTGGGCGAAATGTCCATCCATAGGGAAATAATCCAGCAACCTAGAAAAGGTTCGCGTGACTGAGGCCTTCTTAGGTAACTCGCTTATTGAAAACGTCCAGATACTATTCCCCTACACGGTTTGTTGTAATATTGTGGGATAAGATGAGTTGGTAGATCAGACGACCTGTGTGTCTTCTTTCTCCTTTACCTGCCCATGGGAGTAAGTCCCATTGCACAAACGAGTCACCTCTTGTGAGTAAGAGGACTGTCCTTTTTTCAATTTTCATCCTGAATTCACCTGGGAAAAAATAACATACTTGAAAATATTTTAACGCTCAGTACTTTGCGTGTGTCCCGGAGGGACTGTCTGGCTGTTTTACAGTGTATCGCCTCCACACTGCAGTTTATCCTCTGCTGCACGACGTTGCAGTTGCGGCAAACCCCAGTCGCATGGCCGACAGTTCGAACGTTGTTTCCAACTAGGTTTACCATGTGCCCACAACAGAGTGAGCTCAAGGACGGCGACTTCTGCGTAATATATTTTCTAGTGGTAGTGGACTTTCGCAGCATTTCACGCACTCACTTCTGTACTGACCCGGCTCTGGTGTCATGACAGAGTCCAGAAGACAGGAAACAAGTGGCTGGCTCAACCTGAAGATGAGCCAACGCATGCCACTACACCTCAATTTTTAGCCTTTGTTATGGTTGCGTATCGTCACTGACGCACGCTGTAAACTTACTCCGTAGCCTTGTTGGTCCAATGCAGGTACCATGTTGTCCATTGAAAGGGCATCAGTCGGATACCGACAGGTAAGTTGGCCCTATTATATTTTAGGTCGGCTTTTTCCGTTTCCACCTGGAAACAGCCTGGGCATCCAATATGAAAGAAAATAATCACTACTCTTGAACTCTCCATCTTTGTGCTAGGTAACCATACATATGTGCATGAATGACAAAAAGTATAATGTAACATAATATATTATATAAGAAATATAAAAAAATACAATAAAATAATATAAAATATATCATAATAATATCATAAATATAGTAACCCTATAAAGTCGTGTTCCGGTCACCCACCTCCAAGTCATGCAATTAATAATTTACAGAATAAGTTACCCAGGTATTATCTGGAGGTCATATATCAGAAACCCTATAGGGTACGTTAGAAGCCCCATGTCTCTAGGCTTTTAGCTAGTACATATGCGGGATTACGGTATAATATCTTTACCATATAAATTCATACTACTTGTAGTTCTACTCGTTTGTAGAATGGACACTTTTGTGGTTATTCCACAAAAGTTGATTGTCTTCGACCCTTATTTTTATAGAACTCTTGGTTCTGACCCTAAAATGTCATGTTCCAGTCACCCACCTCTAAATCACGCACTCAATTATTTATAGAATCATTTACCCGATAATATTATACGAACGGTATGGGCTAAACATCGTGCAACTTTCATAATTCTGTAAAAGATTGATCATTTCTCGCATACCGGCGTGAACAAAATTACGAAAACTTAGAAACAATAATTAACAGCATAAGGCATATTTAAGACTTAAAAGAAGCATAAGAAATACATACTGTTTGTTGAAAACTTAACCTAACCACCTTCTTTATAAAAGAGGAACTTTTCTTTAGTCAAAATTTTTGAAAATATTACCATTAATGGAGAACTATATATTTAATATCGTCCTTTTAATACTGGTATAATGTCTTGCGTTTTAGTGTCTTCACTTGTTTATCCACCAATTGATCTTCTGTTCGACGTTGAAATCAAAACCTTTAAAATAAGATATACATCAAAAGAATCTACCAAAAAATGGCGTTTTGGATATAAGTTCTTATGAAGGCGACCATGTGGGTCATATTTAGAAATGCCTCAAAACAGCAAACCATGTTTTCGAGCATATAGAACACCCGCAATATAACTCTGATATTGTTATTCCTAAGGTCAATAAAAAAACTCTCGATGGTAGGTTACCTCTTTAAAAAGTGTTTTAATTAGATATTCAGCTGACGAATTTCTGTGAATGTTAACTTTTTTCAACAAACTGTCAAAAGGAAATTCGAGACTTTTGACAAAATGTTTAATTTATCTGACGATAAACGATTCGATTTGGCTGCAACTGAAAGAACTTACATTTCCCTTTAAAATGGATTATTTTCCACCATAGTGGACTACTTCCAGGATCTGTTAGAAGTTTGCGAATGCAAAAAAAGAGTGGCCACATATGGCCGTTTTATGAAAAAAAATTTTTCCTTCTGTCTGTTCCGTTGCCAAATAGCACATAAGCGGAACGCGTGATTTACAAAAAGTATATGTCCACATGGTTAACATTAAATAAGGCCTGTTTTACATTACCTTTACGGTAACACACGGATACTTTGATTACGTGCCATCTAGGTTGATGCGGTAAAAGAAAATGCGATCAGAACTTTTTGTTACTGCATTTTGTGCAAAAAACTTCATGGGTTAGTTAAAGATAATTGTAAAAATAAAAATCCTGTCGTTTTTGAAAATAAATGCGACACTTCTAATGTTGTTTACCAATTTACATGCACTTGCGGATGCAATTACATAGGACGAACACAACGGCAATTGGCAGCCAGAGCAAAAGAGCACTTGC